TTTTTTCCCCTAAGCTACATTTTCTACCTGGTGGCTTAGGAGTCCTATCCCATGCCTTTTAAATGGGATCTGGCAGGATCTGCCTTGGCTCTGGTGCCTTCTGCGGGTTACTCTCCATTAGCCGTCTGTAAAGTGAGGATGCTGCCTTCCAGAGCTGCTAAGGTGGTCTGAAAATGGTTTCATAAACCAGGAGGAAGACGAGTTAAGTTGAACATTGGGTTCTTTTAGGTGGAAAGGCAGGCCTTGGGGGGCAGGAGATTAAGCCTCTGCTTGGGGACATCCTTCCTGGTCATAAGGCTTTAAAGATTCAAAGCACTTAACCTTTGGACCGCCATGCCTTCACCTAGAGATGCTAACGCCTCTTTGCAAGTTGGTTGATAAGATCAGATCTACAGGAATTTGCTACAGAGCTTGCTACTCACTGCAGCCCATGATGACAGCTGAGTGGTGCAGATAAATGTTTGGAATGGAATGACTTAAGATTGAAATATGGGCAAGAATTTGCGATGGGGGCCCCCGGCAGGGCCGAGAGGGGCCCTCAAAGGAAGAGGCAGTTCCGTCCAGGGTTGCTCACGCTGACCAAAAGAAGAGGGTCCCTATGGCATCGGCCTGGGAAATTAGGCCATAGGAATGAAAAAGTTGTGGACAGGCGAAAGTCAGTCTTCTTAGACACAGCCACAGCGGCAAGCACTGATTTTCAATTAAGCTGCTTTTCAAACGGGCAGCACTATAGTGTCCTGCATGCATGTGGCTGCAGAGCTTTAAGGATCGTGTTTCTTTCATTCTCTGTTGCAGTGGTTCTCAACGTGTGGTCTCTGTCCCAGAAGCAGCGGCACCTGGGAACTCATCAAAGGGGCTCCTGGGTGGCTCAAGTCGGTGAAGCGTCCGACTTCAGCTCAGGGTCAGCGATCTCGCTGTCTTGTGCTCCCAGCCCCTGGCCGGACTCTGTGCTGACAGCTCAGAGCCTGGAGCCTGCTTTGGATTCTGTGTCTCCCTCTCTCTCTCTGCCCCTCCCCCACTCATTGTCTGTCTCTCGAAAATGAATAAATGTGTAAAAACATGTTTTTAAAAATGCACACTCTCAGGTCCATCCCAGACCTACCGAATCGGCAGCTCCCAGGGTAAGGCCCAGCTGTCTTCAGGCTCTCGAGCCCTCCTGGGAGCCCCTGGCC